CAAAACGAACTTGCGAACATTTTCACTACTGCCTGGCCGGCCAAGAATTCGGGTTGATTCCCTGCAGAGGCAAGAAGAACATATCGTCTCCATCTCTAGGATGTGCTGGCCGAGATTCGAACCAATGATCGTCCGAATATAAATCTATACCATAACGGCTGAGCCACACCGCTCGGTAACATGCTTGCCTAGCTACGCCTTCTTAAGTAATCAACTTACCATCATGTTTGGGCCGCGCCATAGCTCAAGCGGTTAGTCGCGGCGGCTCGGGTTCGATCCCGGGACGGGTCAAGTGGGATTTGTGGTGCACATATTGGCGCTGGGGTGCGTTTTCTCCGAGTACTTCGGTTTCACCTGCCAATCTTCATTCCACCAATTGCTCCACAATCACCCTCATCTATCATCTGGGGCTGGTACAATATGCCAGAAGTGGCCACAGTACAAGGGACTTAGTCCCACCCCACTAGCAACAAAAAAAATAAAAATACCATCATATTTGCTTCCAACCAATGATCACGATATATAAAGAGGTCTTTTTTTTTTCCTTGGCACTACAGCCCCAGTGGGCCTAGGCCTACCTCCATGAACTTCTCCCTTCACTTCGGTTTTTCTAGATCTTACACATACGGTAGGACTCCTTGGGCGGGTGATCAGCTCATCGTAAGGCCTCTACCTGTACACAAATGCAGGAAAACGCATACACACAAACTACACATCCATGCTCTGAGTGGGATTCGAACCCACGATCCCGTTTCCAAGCGAGCGAAGACAGTACATGCCTTAGACCGCTCGGCTACCGTGACCGGCATAAATATGTCTACATATGTCAAATACAGACACTCATTATCATACCAACCCCCCCCCCTCAACTGCCGCGCCATGGGTAATGAATGGATGCAAGGGGGCGAAATTAGAACTAAGTAAAGTATATTAACTCTACGTCACTATTTCCGCTTCCTTTCCAGGGTAATTATTTGTTTAAACGCTGAATCATATTTTACGTGAAACCGGAATGTTACATTTACATTAAATATATTTACAATTAATATAATTTTACCTGTCCACCGTCCTTATTGATCCCGACCAGGCAGTAACCCCCCCCCTTGTTGGTATGTTGGACCGAGAATATATTGCAGCGTGTAGACCCGTTACTAGGTAACGACCGGGAAACGAACGATACAACGCTCGCTGCTGATTATCAGATTCTTACTAAGCAGCAATTCAACTACAACAGTGGGGTGCGGGGTATTCTACGCGGCCCGTGTTCGAGGGAGTCTGTGAAGCGAAGACTAAAATGTTGGTGTTTAAAAAAAATCCGATTATATGCTCTACCATTAACAGAAGGACAGGCGGGCACTGCCTGGGAACCTTCAAAATCGGAGAGTTTCTTACCCCTCCCAAATGTAGTGTCTCTCACTACCACCCCATTCTTCTTCTTCTTCTTCTTCTTCTTACTCACACAACAAAAGGTTGGTGTGAGATGGCCGCTAGCCTAGGACTTAAAGTCACTTGAAAAAAAACGAGTTTAACTGTGGGGTATTAGCTAGCGGGTAACAACGTGACCGCGGAAGCTGAAGAATCTCCACTGTTAGAAGCCGTTACCAAGAAACGACTGATGGAGGGTGTAACAGACTGAGAACACTAGTATGTGTGTAACAGTGAAATGTAAAGTGTAGTCCTGAGTCGCGTTAAAGTGGGAAATAAATACAATCTTCATTCCAAACCCCGTCTATAGTCACTCATACAGGTGACAATATATTGTGACATGTAGACCCAATGCCGAGTAACAGCTGTGTAGACAGGCGACAGTACAACAGCCGTTCCTAGGGAACAGCTCTGTGAACACATTGTTTTCCGGCAACGAGAACATGAAATGGCAGAAGAAGCATTTCCTGTGAGGTCCGTGCCGGGGCTATATAACGAGGACTAATAGTTCGTTGAGTCAGGTGAGAGATGCAGTAGTGAGAAGTAACATGCTGGCACATGAGGCTGGGGACAGTTCGGGAACACAGAGGAAGAGGTACGTCCTCCGTTGGAAGTCGCTATCAAGCAACGGCTAAAGAAGACTGAGAAGACTTTATGTGTGCTATAGTTAGTGTGATCTATGGCATATGTAATACAGTGGGGCCTTCGTAGTTATTTGCAGTTACGATCTACTGAGTGTTAAATAAATCCGATTACCAATCTAAACCCCGTCTACAGTCACTCAATCACGTGACAAAATACACACGAACACTTACCAATCATATTAATTTCGATCGCGAAGATGGAATGTACCTAAAAAATGTCTGGAACTGTTCACATCCATACGGCGGAAAGCCCCAAGAAGAAAATTTTTCTATATGTCTAATATGTCTACTTCGCACCAGCATTAGGGTTTGTAGTAAACGCAGATGGTTGTGTATATATTGTGACATGTTGCGCAAAGGAGAACCCCCCCCCACCAGCAGTGACGCGGCGGGTGAGTCAGCGCTCCCCTCCCCCTCCTCCGCACGGTAACGTAACGGTGACGCAACAGGATTGTTACGGTAGTAACAGCGGTTACTACCGCTAGCGTTACTAGCAACACAGCGCCAGGCAACAAGGGTGCCTATTACGTGGCTGTTTTCCGTATTGTCCGATCAAGGCTACATAAGGAGCAGCGAAGGCTATTCACAGTCAGTTGTACTGAGTCAGTCAGTTAGTCCTGGAACTACCGCCGAGTGAGTCCTCGAGCTACCTCCGAGTTAGTCCGAGTTAGCCAGCAACTAGTCAGTTGTATTCTGGCATTTGGAGTGTACTAATTGTGATACTGCAGATAGCAGTAACCGTAAATCTGTAATTTGGGTGATTGTAAGTGCGAATGTGAAATAAAATTCGCTATATAAAATACGGCGTCAAGTTATTTGTCGCGATATACGCCCAATACGTGACAATATATATATATATCCAACAAAGGGTGATAGGGGTAGAGAGAAATTTTATAAACTGTTTTTTTGCCACTGCAGATGTAACCCTTGTTCATTTACTGCATATAAAACTCGTTGCTACAAGGCTTACAGCACTATACATACTTCATTATCTGAATCCACGAAGCTGAGCCCTTTTTGACAAGCCGCCAGTTGCTCAGCTACTAGCGAAATTCACAACATTTTATCCGACGGTTCGTGTTAACAAGAATCCACCACTGGTCTCTATCCTGAGCCACATTAATCCAGTTCACAACTTCCCATACTAACTAGTCTACTTGTAGGTCATTCTAGCGATTACTTTCCATAACATTTTCCTACCATGCGTGCTACATACCCTGTCCATCTCACCCTCGTTCACTATTTCACTCTAATTATACCTGGCGAGGTGCACTAATATTGAACCTCGTGTTACACTTTTCTCCAGGACCCCTCTTACAAACTCCGTGGCCTGTAGTCCGCAAGCGAACTATACCGACCGAGCGACCGCCGCTTGTCGGCAAAGTTAGTGCCAAATTTAGCGGACAGAGGGTGTCACGTGGTCAGCACAACGAATCCCAACGGCAGTTAATCTCGGTTTTCTACGCCGGAGCCGCTATTTCCTTGAAACAGCTCCTCAATTATCCTCACGAGGCTGAGTGGAGCCCGTTCCTGACCCACTACTTCTCACAAAATCTGCTAGCGTTGGGAATCGAACCCGGACCTCTGCATCTGTAGCCAGGAACTCTGACCACTAGACCACAGAGGCGGTCCATAAACAAACATTAAGAACTAAAATTAAACTCGCTCCACAACTTCTTTTTCCGCCGTGGATTATTTTAAAACTTTCTCAGTGTCGTGACTGTACGGCGTCACACGCTATAACGACAGATGAACAATTAATTTCTGGAGGATCTAGAAGGAAGCGGTCGTTGACCTAACCTAAGTATTATCATGGCATATACCTCAAGGGGCCGTGGAAAACCACGAAAGTCCTGACTGGATGGCCAGTAACTCGTCCGAGATTCGAACAGAGCACTTCTCGAATATAAGTCTATAGCGTTACTTCTACACCGACGTCAAACCTCCCCATTATGCAATCATTTATGCACACTGTTGTACACCAACAACAAAATTCATGGAAACTAATCATAAAACAGAAGTTATCTCGTGGAATCAATCATATTCAGTCTAACTTATTAAATTATTATTTATTTTTGAACTTCGATACCGTCAATAATCACTCCTTTACAGCCTTGTTCTTGGTATTAACGAATGGATACAATTTACATAACCTTTAAAACAAGGCTGTACCTTAATTGGGAGGAAATAAGCCCCACGGCAAGAAAAAAAAATAACATGGCCGGCGATTATATATGGCAGCTGCACTTGTTTCCATTTCGTTGTCGAAATGCACACAGCTTGGCGTCCTTACACAACGTACCACTACGCTACACACCGACAAATTTCATATTATTATTACATTCATAATTTAAATGATGAATAAACAAGAACATATCCAAGATGTTGAGTTCTTGTGGTTGGGAAAACCGTTACAAATGCGTGGAAACTATCAGACCTTTTAAAGCATAATGGTTATTTATATCTACCACCTGCTTGTAACATAAACTGCATTCTGCCCAAACAATGTACTTACGTGTTTCATATGATTCTCACAATAATCTGCAACCATTTCTCTGAACTGTACTATTAACCAAGTGGTTCTTTATATGGTGACGCATCGCTTCCTGAGGTTAGAAACGTATTTTTGGACTCAAATTCGCGCTTCAATGGGTTAAAATCTGTGTTCGTTAACACGCAGCCCATTAGCGTTACTGATCAAATTGATATAAGCAGCCAACGTTTGCCACAAATAGATATACTGAAAGCACCTTCGGCGGTTGGCGTTCTACGTTACTTGTGCCACTGTTGCAATACGCCTTGCTTGGCCTAAATCAGTTCCCAATTACAAGCACTAGTAAAACTTTCAAAGCTAGTATTTGACATTTTTTACACAAGAATTTAGAAACATGATTACGACACATACTAGTTAAGACGACAGATCCCACTCACCTCAAATTCCTTTTCCTGTATTGAACACAAAGGCGCTGTAAGATAATGGCCACTTCATTCACACACAAAACAGTAAACACTGATATTATATTTCAACCTATACACACTTGATGGCCCTGTTTACGTCACAAACAGTTTTTACGACCTCAAAAACACAACTAAAAATTCACACACATCAATAACACAAAGAAACAGGAGACACTTAACACGTCACATTATACTGTTCACAATTTTGATTTACGATTTTGCCTCCCGCCTATGAACAGCTGAATTCAGTGTCAAGGACACGTCACAGACCACGTGCTTCTGATGAAGAATCCATTTTAAAACAGCTCATTTTCATTACTGATTTCCTTTCGGTTTTAACTTCATTTTTCTTCAACACACAACGATTATTTTCCCTTGCTCTCGGAGCTTCTAACGTTAGCTGGCAAGTAGGTAGGTCTGCGAGTGAGCTGTCCGCCGGCTGCTTCGTTTGCAAGATGTCTGCCCCTACGTTTGTGAGCCAGGAGGGACGAAGGGGGGGGGGGGAACATGGGTGTCATGTAGTCCACAGAGCAGGAGAATTTCAACATTAGAACTGCTTGCCTTCCTAGGCTTGGCTAGGGTTCGGGCAAGCAAGCAGGCAAGCTAGCTAGATTATGGAGCACTCCAAGTCAATAATCATACCCTCTCCTCCACCATACCTCCTACTCCCCCCCTACTTACCTCTCACAGTTCCCTCCATTTCAATGTGTATTTGGTTCTCTCAGCAAACGCTACCTCTCACGGTCTGCCTTTAGAATGTGGATGTCGAAGAGCACAAACGGTGTAAATGACTTGGTAAGTAAAATAACAAGCAACTACAGTAAAGGCAGAAAGCTTTTTGTAAATTATTAAATTGTTTTATCTCAAATAAACTCTTCATGCGAAGTATTATGCCAACAACAACAGCACGACTGTTGACACTTGAAAGCAGAATTCTGTGTAGTGTTAAAATGTAACACCCAAATGGTGTCAAATTTGCAACCACTTTCATACGAATAATGTTGAGATATACTCACACTCAAAAGGATAGAGTCTGCCCAGTTAATTACAGGAATGACGACCCCCAAACCCCCATTAACTGTGGATAGTTACTTCGATAAGTTCATACTTTTCTAAACTTGTCCAACAGACAGCTGTGATGTTTCTAGAATTATGATTCATTGCTTACGTGTCTATTGCTTCATCTCAGGACTGTGTTTGTGCATAAGTGAATTAAAACACTCAACACACTCAACAGTCACAGTGGTTCTTCAGCATGACTGGGCAGGTTGACGTAGCAGTAACGATCTTGATTTGCAGTCGGGAGGTGGTAGGTTCGAATTTCGGTCCGGCCATAGGCTATCCAGACAGGTTTATCGTTGTTTTCCTCGGTTACTCCAGGCAAATGCCTTGGCACTACCTCAATTTTGACACAACCGCCTCATTCCAAATCCTTTGGAATTCATTATTCATCATCCACCCTATCGGTTGCACATTCATCATTATCGAATTACTTTATTATCATGACCAGCCTCACCACTGTTGCTGTTTCACGACACAGTCCCCACACCCCTGTATTTTCGCATTGGTTGTGACGCAACATGTCCTCAAAGACAACAAAAAAACATTTCCAGATCGCTGACAGAGCAATCATCAGTTTTGACTTTACTGGTGACAGATATCGCAATGAGTAAGGTAACCCTGTAACAGGTCGTGGAGGCCCATAGGGTTGTGAGACGTCGAGGCTCCCACATTTCTAGACAATCGCTCACAGATGGCGGTGAGACTGTCAGCCTTACGCGCCGGTCGCTCTTTACCCCCAGGAACATTCCTGGTACTCACATTGGCTGAGTCGTCCCCAGGGACATAGCGCAGCTGGAAGGATTAGGTCAACTGAAAAAATCCACGTCATCGGGACTCGAACATGCGACCTTCCGGCTTGTAGCATAGTGTCTCAACCAACTACGCTACCGCGTGCCCCATCGGAACCAGTATATAGTTGTTAATGCATGAAGGTCAATTACAATTAACATCAAATTTAGACCATACTATGTCACACCTTAAATATGTGTCCGCATTTCTTAATTGAGAGATGTTTTATCAACTTCGTGTTTTTTTTAGTCCGCAAGCGAACTATACCGTTCGAGCGACCGCCGCTTGTCGGCAAACTTTAGCGGATTGAGGGTGTCACGTGGTCAGCGCAACGGAACCCCACGGCCGTTAATTCCGATTTTCTAGACCGGAGCCGCTATTTTTCCATTCAAGTAGCTCCTCAATTATCGTCACGAGGCTGAGTGGACCCAGTTTTAGGCCCACTACTTCTCAGAAAATCTGGTAGCGCCGGGAATCGAACCCGGGACCTCAAAATCTCAGGAAGTCTGATCACTAGACCACAGAGGCAGTCGTGTTTTATCAACTGTATTGTAATGTGTATATGTCGTCCATCGCTGAGCAACGAAAACGATGGAAATTATTGAATTCCCACAGCGACAAATCGAATACCAGTAGACCGTTGCCTAGGAAGAACCGTGCCAGCGATTTATTGAAACAGCGGAAATAATGCATTTCCACGGTAACGATCACAGACCACGTGAAATCGAACCCTGGGCGATGGTGCGTTCTATCCCGTCCGAAACCAGGTTAAAGTCCAGCTCCGAAGAGTTTTTCAGTCGAGTCGTAGGAGGCGAGGAAAAGGGAAGTCTCAAATCTGAGAACGTAAAATATGGTCGCGAGTCCCAAGGGACTCAGACCCGAGAAAGACTGCGCATAGACCAGCAGCATATTCAAAACAACAGACCCGTCCTCTCGTCAGAGAGGACGCTTCACAAAAACAAGACCGTAACTGTCAAACAGTAATAAATATCTGGTCATGAGCCCCAGACGGGGCTGGACACCACAGACTTACTGACTGACTGATGGTCGCGCCATAGCTCAAGCGGTTAATCGCTGGTTTCCCACCGCGGCGGCCCGGGTTCGATCCCGGGTCTGGTCAAGGGGGATTTGTGGTGGACAAAGTGGCGCTGGGGCAGGTTTTCTCCGAGTACTTCGGTTTCCCCTGCCAATCTTCATTCCACCAATTGCTCCACAATCACCCTCACCTATCATCTGGAGCTGGTACAATAGGCCAGAAGTGGCCGCAGTACAAGGGACTTAGTCCCACCCCATTAGCAATAAAAAATACTGACTGACTGACCGACCGTCAGTCACAGTGTGACTTTGACTTTGACTTGAACCGAGTGAATATACCCGACGAGTCAGCTGAGCATTAGCAGTCGTCGAGAACAGCTGCGAAGTGAATGTCATAATAATTGTACTGGAGTGTGTAAAAGTGAGCATTCAATAAACTTATTCTCCAAATCCGAGACCTACGTGAATTCACTCGTCGCGTTACATAGGTAACACGCGCCAGTGTGTATGGTTGCGCAGCTGTCCTCTGATCTTTACATAGAGCAGATAACACACGACATGAAGACGTATGGGGAGAGTGGAGGTATAAGTACACGCATTGAGTTCGGCACTAGGAGGTGGTGAGCTTCACGCCCCGACCGCATAATTCATGTGGGCCCTAAGCGGCAGTAAACAAAATGAAGAGCTGCGAAATCTCTTGCCCTTGTCTCTCCTGGGTTGTTTAACCCACAGTCCAATAGATCGTGTGAGCTATTCCGTGTCTCTCATATTTTATAGACGAAAACACATGAAAAGGATCAATTTGAATGCTTGTTTATTCACGCTGTATCATCTGCTGTCAACGGTTTCTTGCTAGAGGTAACCGTTGACCTGCTGACATTACACAATGAAACATTTCAGAAGAGTTTCGTCCATATATCTCTTGCAACGTTAAAGCAAATTTCATTCTCACTGTATTTACTCCGCACAGACTGATGCAATTCTATTAGCCAGTCCTGTAGCAGGTCATAATGAATTCATTGCAATATATTGGGGTATTAATGTCTGTCTGTGAGTGGATACACCCCACACGCGGCCAGATGATGTCAGTGTGCATGCAGGGGGCAGTCGTGTCACGGTGCGCTGCCCACAAGAGGCAGATCTGCATCCGCGGTGAGAAACAGTACCTGACACAGCGGAAACGCTCCAGACTTTTAGTTGGGAGGTGCTCGGTTCGGAACCTGGTCAGGACTATCGATATTGTCATGTACCTATTTAGTGACTAGAAACGGGATTTGGATCGGTAGTTAGATTTAATGGATTCTATAAGCAATTATAAACGTTTCTCTAATTCACACAATTTACACTTCACTAGGCGTTGCTACGTAACGGCTTCCAACAATGGAGACTCTTCCGCCACCCACGCTTCCGCCGGGGGGGGGGCGACTGTCATACATCCTCAGGCTCCGGAATGGACTGTCGGTCGGTTAAACTGCTGTTGGCCCTCGGCAGCATAATCATTATTGGTTTCAGGTCTTCTCGAGGCTTTTGACTTATGTACAAGGTGTGACAATTTAATTCCCGGAACAGCCGTAGTATGTCGAGTCAGGCAAACTCACGTACCCAAACGCGTTTGGACATGTTCCAACTTGTGTTTACAAGAGCCACAAACTAAATGAGTAGTTCGGTCCCAAGCAGCAGAGGAAGTAGTACGTGTCCCGGGTATACTGTTGGCGGGAAACTGCGGATAAACATCAAGTTTTGTGTGAAGATTGGTAAAAGTTCTAGTGAAACGTTAGCCCTATTAACAGTGACTTATTGTGAATACGCCATCAAGAAATCGAGTGTTTTGAATGGCACAGGCGGTTCAAGGAAGAGCGAGATTTGCAAGATGACCCAAGAAGTGGGACACATGCAAATGTGGATAGTGTACGAACAAACAGTGAATCATCAGTGCCATTTCGAAGTTCTGACGAGGTTACGGTGATCTGTTTGGAGGAAACGACCCGAACTCTGGTCTGACAAGCGGATTCTCCACCATGACAACGCGCCTGCGCATGTTGCGTTAAGAGTTGGCGAGTTCCTAGCTAAGAAACCCATTACAAAAATGGACCATCCATCATATTCACCTGACTTAGGCCCCTGCGATTATATACTCTCCCCCATACGCCTTCATGGCATAGTGTTTAATTAGTTAAGCATAGGGACGGCCGCGCCATAGCTCAAGCGGTTAGTCGCTGGCTTCCCACCGCGGCGGCCCGGGTTCGATCCCGGGTCTGGTCAAGTGGGGTTTGTGGTGGACAAAGTGGCGCTGGGGCAGGTTTTCTCCGAGTACTTCGGTTTTCCCTGCCAATCTTCATTCCACCAACTGCTCCACAATCACCCTCACCTATCATCTGGGGCTGGTACAGTAGGCCAGAAGTAGCCGCAGTACAACGGACTTAGTCCCACCACACTAGCAATACAAAAAAATAAGCACAGGGCCAACTTTACCTTTTTACATGCTTGTACTTTCTAGCCCCACCCCCTCTCTTTGCTTCCCTGATTTTCTTGTTATACAACAACACTGCGCTTTACAAGTACATAGCCACATCATAATTGCGGAAGATAAATTGACAATGATACATTTCAGGCTCAATAAGTATCTTCGTACATATTGGAGAGGACATTACACAAACTTGTCGAAGGTCGTATTTATCCGCCTGTCTGTCTGGTCGTTTCTCTGCCTGTGAC